AAAATTTTCTTTTTATTATTTTCTTTATATATATTGTAATTAAACATATTTACTAATCCCAAATAAAGCTTCCCGTTACTGGTTTTAGCGTGACTACGTCGCGCAGCTACCTAATTAATTAACATAAAACAGACTACATATAAATGCAAAATTTCTCGCGTACAGTACGTACAGTACGTACGTATAGTACGTACAGTACTGTACGCGGCACATCACTAGGCGTTACGCATTAAAGTGTCCATTTTTACATATAAACTAGAACATGATCATGCGGGCGGCTTCGCCGCCTATAATATGCTAAAGATAATAGATTTGTTTGTTTTATTTTTACTTTTATTTTGGAAAGAAAATCTTCTTAAGCTTCTCCATCATTAGATATCCATCTTGAATTTAATGCACCAATTTGGGCCTCTCCGGGCCAAAGCTGGCGCATTAAATTTAAAGCATTTCCTTTCCGTCATTAGATATTTCATCTAGAATTTAATGCACCAATTTGGGCCCCTCCGGGGCAAAGCTGGTGTATTAGATTTAAAGCATTTCCTTTCCATCATGTAAACAATCACAAATAATTTCAACCAATACTGCAATAGTAAATGCCTTTCCTAGTATTATGAGGAAATTTTCATCGTCGATCTCTGCACGGTAGGAGCACAAAACGCATAAAATAACAAAACTGATCATACCAAACAAAAAAATACATCACGATCATGTTAAATACCAAACACAGTAAAGTTGATCAAACAAGCCTTAAAAATAAATTTTATTAACACTAAGTTAAAATCTTTTTTAAAAAAATTATAGGCGATAAGGCCATACAAATTTATATTTTTGGTTTTCATATCACCTAATAAAAACAATTTATTTATGAATTTTATTGTTTCACAACCGAGTACCTTGTAAAAAATTTCATATATAAAAAAATTTTTTAATAAAGCCATACAAACTTATATTATCGGTCTTCATAACACCAACTAAACTTTAATAATCGGCGACAGATTTTAAATTTTTTTTTTTTAAAAAAAAGTTTTTTTAATAAAAATTTTTATTGACAATCAGTCAGAATACCTGGTAAAATGATTTTATATTCTAAAGAATTATTTAATAATCACGTATATACGAACAAATTTGTATTTTTACTGGGCATGAAAGGTGATCTATCATTTCACAAAATTGAAACCATTTTATGTGTCTAAAGTAAAGATCAGGTACGTAGCTGTGTAACGTAAGCAAAGAATGTAGTATGATCGCTATTAAGGATCCAAGTGTAGTGACAAACTATTTTAGTATTTGTAAAAATATTACCCAATTATCAATTCTTTTATGCAATCTATTTCAAATTATAGTTAATATTGTTACAGTTATTATCATTATTTCTGGGACACCTGAAGAATTTTCAGATGACCGAAATATCCTCTGTTTCATTCGGTAAATTACCTAGCACTCCGGAATTACATCGCTGTCTTCGGAAGACAGCAACATAGTTTCCGAGAAGTTAGGTAATTTACCGAATGAAACAGAGGATATTTCGGTCATCTGAAAATTCTTCAGGTGTCCCAAAAATAATGATAATAGCTGTAATTGATTAAACTTGTGGTATATGTATAATTGAATAAAATTACTACATATGCTATGTAGCCTACATATCTTGAACATGAAATACACATTATCACTATAAAAAGTTTTCGATAAACATCGTATTTCCCAGATTATCGTTCCATTATAGTTCCGGAAAATGCTCGGAACAAGCCATATACAAATTCTTGATCATTTCCATAGATTCCTGACAATTTTCGGGTAAAAATCAAATCCGGGTAAGATTCGGCTTCCAATCTTTTGTATTTCATATAATTAGAAGCCGGAATTTAATTTTTTACTCGTAATTTATTAGGATTCTATGGAAATGACCAAGAATTTATGTATGTTTTTTCTGACAAATGAGCATTGTGACGCAACAGGGTCTAAGTATGAGCTCTGTTGTGTAATGATTGCCTTGTTATGAAGTAACAATTACTTTTTCGATATGTAATCAGATAGTAATTATGTAGTAATTAGTGCATATGCAGGGATTATGTAATAAGTATGTAGTAGTTCAGTAGTAATTAGTAATCACTTGCATAACAATCGAAAAGGGAATAGGGATATAAAAGAAAGAGAGAGAGAGTCTTTTGGTTAGTTCTTTAGTTGGTTAATCAGTAGTTAGTTAGTTTGACCCGTGGAAAGTACTCTGGGAGTACCTCTTGATTTGTAAAGTAATAGGGAACATTGGTCACTTGGTTGTAGTTCCCTCTTATTTTTCTTGCTATATACTAATATAATAAACACTTGGCTTCCTCTCTTTTATGCTTACAACCCAAGCTGAATTGGCTATGTGAATATAAAGACTCTCCCAGGTTGTGACATATTTGGTGCCGATTGTGTGAATAAAAAAAAAAGAAGGAGACAGTGTTAAATTAGTAGACTTGAGGATTGAACATACCAAAGAACAGAAAACGAAAGTCGTTGTGTGTTGTAATACTATAAATAAGGGAAACAAAAGCCAGGTCAGCTTGTATTAGAAGATTCTCTTTTTTTCTTTTTTTTTTTTAAAAAAAAAAAAAAAAAAAAAGTGTTAAATAATTATTAAGCAAAATCCAGATCTGTAATGTGCTAAATTAAAGTTATAGAGACCATCGGACAAACAAACAAACAAGCGAAGTTTTCAACAAAGTAACAAGCAGACACAATGTTTGACAATATGGATACGTGGGAATACTTAATGAACCAGATAAACAATAATAATAAACAACAAGGATATGCAGCCACTACACAAAGTAACGATTATCCATTAGAAGAACCAATTTTGCTAAATAACCTTAACCCTCCAATGGAACAAACTCATACCAACCCATCCTGGGATCAACTTCTTTAGCATATGACGAACTTAATGGCACAACAACAAGAAAACTAACCGATATAAAAGAACATCATTTTTAAACATACCAGTTTTTTCAGGTGATAATCAAGACCCCATAGCGTGATTAGAAGCTGTTGAAAGGGCTTTTAAAGCTAATAATATAGTAGGTAATAGAAGGCTTTCAGTGATTGGTGCTTATTTCTCTGAACTGGTGGCGTTTTGGTCAGAAGGTCAAAAGGCAAAAAGATTAGGTTTACGATATTGAAATAATGAATTTCTCCCTGAGCAAAGTTTTGTATATCAATTCTATACTAATTTTTGTACATACACATTAGTAACTCAGTGGAATATAGAGCTGTTAACTCAAAGACAACATGTAGGAGAAACAGTAAATTAGTATATGACTGATATGTTAGTTCTGTTCCGCGAGTAGTGAAAGTGAGTAACCAATACCTAGAAGTAGTTAAAGCACAAATGTTTGTGCAAGGTCTTTGTCTTGATTTGTTATTAACTCTTAGTTCATTCATGCCCAGTACTTTGCAAGAAGCAATCAATAGAGCATGGACATGCAAAATGATATTCGCAAAGAAGTTGGTGATGTGTAGATCTGTGGCAATTGATAATATAGTGTCTGGATCTTTGCCCCAGCAACCTTATCTTCAACAATCATGGGCCCTGCTACTGCAGCAAGTTTTATAGTCTCAAATGCTGATGCCACATTCAGTATCATTTCAGTTACAACTGTTGATAACGAATTCGCCATCCAATACGGTTTCTTTAAATTCAATGGGTTAGATGATCTCTCTGCTTTAAGAGGTTGTCAAAGTAGTAAAGGGCAATAATAATAGTAATAATAATAATCATCCTGTAGTTAGTGAAAATCATAGAGATAGAAGTAGCTATAGACCTATCTGCTTTTCGTGTCAACAATCAGATCACTATGCATGAGAGTGCCTGAATGTAGTTCAACATAGTAATGGTTATAGGAGTGCTCCACAAGCCCGAATTTTGCTAATAGAAGCAACCTGAGAGTGGTAATAATCATTTGGTTAATGATGAATCACAAGCTCAGGCTATGGTAGCCTAAATGAAAGATATGTTTGGGCATTTAAACTAGAAGGCACACCTTTGGGAGTGAGTATATGTCAACATTGAAAAATCTCTCAATACAAAGGATAGAAAAGGCATATATAGCAAAGTGATAATGTAAAGATACCAATAATATTAACAAAGTTAAAGCTCCACCTGAATCGAACCTGTAAAAAGAGTTGAAGCTAGAAATAAGAAGCTGAATATTGAAAGAACGGACCAAATAAATAAACAGGTGAAGGTCAAAAAAAAGAAAATGTCAAAATCAATCGACCTGTCTGTGATTGCCGGTGTTCAACCCTATTCGATAATGACAGATCTTCAAAATAAAAGAGCTGACATTTTGTACGCGCAACTATTTCAAGCCGCACCTGAAGTAAGGAAGAAAGCATTAAAGATCTTGCACTCTGGGAGAATTGTGAAGTCAAAATTTGTCGATATTCATTTAAGCCAGATGGATAATGAGTATATAACATCTATATACTGTGAAGCCAAAGTGAATAACATGCTAATTATTCTCATCTTGGATAGTGGGTCTTTAGGTTGCGTAGTTTCTGCAAGTTTCTTGAAGGAAGTTGATATTGTAATCGATTATCCTTCATCTGTGTTGATGACTAGAATCCATAGCAAACAAAAGCAGCCTTTAGGAGAAGTTGACCATTTTTCTGTAACAGTGGCTGGAGTAACTATAATAACAAAAGCTGTAGTAACAGATGCCAGAAACTATGCAGCTATCATCGGTAACAATTGGATGAAGAAGGCGAAGGCAAAATTGGATTGGTAAGCTTGTAAACTCACAATCATGAATGATGGTAAGGAAATTAGAATACTGACCAAATATTGCAAGTTGGCAAATATTGGTGATCTTGTCTTACTAAAGGAAGCAAGTGGAGAAGTGGAGAAAAAAAAAGAAAAAGAAATGTTAATTAGTTCCAATGATAATGATAGTGAAAATAGTAAAAAGTCAGACGATAGTGACGAAAATACTGATAGTGACAATGAAGAAGGACTGGTCAACCAAGAATTTTTTTTTATGAGTTTTGTTCTATGAATATGGTCAATAAAGTTTGTGGATTATGTATGCCAGTGTTGCCACTGGAAGCCTACTGGAAGCCACTGGAAGCTCACTAGAAGCTCACTGAAAGGCAAATAAATAGTAACTGGAAGGATTTTTTGTCATTAGAAGGCAAGAAATTTCCCACCAGAAGGCAAATTTACAACACTGATATATGCAGAAAGGACACAATTGTGTTGATTGTGCCATTAAGCAATGATGTGAAAATGATTGGAAGGTGTGTTTGCTGAGCAAAATGAAAAGTTTGACTGGTGAATTAAATATTGGTGAAATGAACTCAGAGCAAAATTGACAAATTAAAGGAGTGTTGAAAGATTTCCAAGATCTGTTTGCACATGAATTACATGAGTTGGGCCGTATGATAGTCATGCAACATGAAATTTATACTGAGGAAGATCCTCCAATCAAACAATGATTTTACCTGATGTCCTGGGTCAAACACAATTTTATTAGACAAGAAATTCGAAGAATAGAAGAATCAGGATTAATTTGAGCACAAATAGTCTATAGGCATCTCCGGTTGTCTTAGTAAAGAAGAAAAATAGCAAGCTCTGATTTTGTGTTGATTTCAGAAAATTGAATAAGAAGACAAAATGCAATAGCTACCCTTTACCCTGAATCAACAAACTTCTTGGAGCTCTCAAAAATTCTGCGTGATATACGACGTTGGATCTTGCAAGTGGCTTTTAGCAAGTCAGAATGAAACTCCCAGGATCAAGAAAAGATGGCTTTCATAATAAAATATGGTCTTTACGAATTTGTGGTGATGCCGTTTGGCTTGACAAATGCTTCCACAATGTTTTAACAGCTTATAGATCATGTTCTTCAAGATGAGATGTGGAAATTCGCTTTAGCATACATTAATGATGTAAATATCTATTCTCCCAATTTTGATACTCACCTAAAACATATTGATATTGTGTTAATAAAGCTTCGAGAAGCCAACTTAAAACTAAATCCAGACCAATGCTTCTTTGGTCAAAGAAAAATAAGTTACCTGGGTCATGAAATTAGTGGAAGTAGAATTGCCATAGCTGAATCAAAAATAATCGCTGTAAAGAATTTTCTAAGACCTACAAATGTACAAGCCTTGAGAAGCTTCCTAGGACTTGCCAGATTTTATTGTAGATTTGTGAGGGTTTTTGTGAAGGTATCTGTGCCACTATATAAATTATTAAAAAACAATATGAGTTATCAATAGCATAAAGAACAAGATAAAGCATTCAAAGAATTAAAGGAACGTTTAATGACAGCTCTGATTTTAGCACATCTAAATGATGATAAGGAATTCCTTTTGTATACAGATGCCTCTTATATAGCTCTTGGTACAATATTAACACAATTGAATGAAGAAGGTCAAGAATGCATAGTTGAATATGCTAGTGGATTGATGAAACCTCCAGAAAAAAATTATAGGATCACTGAACTAGAATGTATAGCAATTGTCTGGGCAGTAAAAAATTCTATTAGTATTTGCATGGGCCTCAATTTGTACTAATTACCGATCATAGTGCCTTGACTTACCTGAATAATATGTTAAATCCAACTGGCAGAATAGCACGGTATATCATGATGTTGCAGGCCTATAATTTTGTGGTTAAACATAAGCCCAGAATACAAATAGGCAACGTCGATGCATTGTCGAGAATTATATAATCCTGAAAAAAACTCGACGATAGAAAAAAAATAATAATGAATAAAGAAAGAACAATTATATATAGATATATATATATATATAACTCTCATTAGCACCGATATGAAAAGTAGATAGAATAAGTTACCTGGTGAGGATAATTAAAACTCCTAAAAAAAAAAAAAAAAAAAAAAAGAAGAAAATTTTTTAGTAGTACTAATAACATTAATTCATGTTACACACAACAACACAACAATGTAAATAAAATCAGAATAACTTAACTGCTGAAGTATTGTTAAAATTTTCAAATTAAGAATAAATACTTGAATCAGTATCGCATGCTGATGAGAGTTATATATATATATATATCTATATATAATTGTTCTTTCTTTATTCATTATTATTTTTTTTCTATCGTCGAGTTTTTTTCAGGATTATATAATTCTCGACAATGCATCGACGTTGCCTATTTGTATTCTGGGCTTATGTTTAACCACAAAATTATAGGCCTGCAACATCATGATATACCGTGCTATTCTGCCAGTTGGATTTAACATATTATTCAGGTAAGTCAAGGCACTATGATCGGTAATTAGTACAAATTGAGGCCCATGCAAATACTAATAGAATTTTTTACTGCCCAGACAATTGCTATACATTCTAGTTCAGTGATCCTATAATTTTTTTCTGGAGGTTTCATCAATCCACTAGCATATTCAACTATGCATTCTTGACCTTCTTCATTCAATTGTGTTAATATTGTACCAAGAGCTATATAAGAGGCATCTGTATACAAAAGGAATTCCTTATCATCATTTAGATGTGCTAAAATCAGAGCTGTCATTAAACGTTCCTTTAATTCTTTGAATGCTTTATCTTGTTCTTTATGCTATTGATAACTCATATTGTTTTTTAATAATTTATATAGTGGCACAGATACCTTCACAAAAACCCTCACAAATCTACAATAAAATCTGGCAAGTCCTAGGAAGCTTCTCAAGGCTTGTACATTTGTAGGTCTTAGAAAATTCTTTACAGCGATTATTTTTGATTCAGCTATGGCAATTCTACTTCCACTAATTTCATGACCCAGGTAACTTATTTTTCTTTGACCAAAGAAGCATTGGTCTGGATTTAGTTTTAAGTTGGCTTCTCGAAGCTTTATTAACACAATATCAATATGTTTTAGGTGAGTATCAAAATTGGGAGAATAGATATTTACATCATTAATGTATGCTAAAGCGAATTTCCACATCTCATCTTGAAGAACATGATCTATAAGCTGTTAAAACATTGTGGAAGCATTTGTCAAGCCAAACGGCATCACCACAAATTCGTAAAGACCATATTTTATTATGAAAGCCATCTTTTCTTGATCCTGGGAGTTTCATTCTGACTTGCTAAAAGCCACTTGCAAGATCCAACGTCGTATATCACGCAGAATTTTTGAGAGCTCCAAGAAGTTTGTTGATTCAGGGTAAAGGGTAGCTATTGCATTTTGTCTTCTTATTCAATTTTCTGAAATCAACACAAAATCAGAGCTTGCTATTTTTCTTCTTTACTAAGACAACCGGAGATGCCTATAGACTATTTGTGCTCAAATTAATCCTGATTCTTCTATTCTTCGAATTTCTTGTCTAATAAAATTGTGTTTGACCCAGGACATCAGGTAAAATCATTGTTTGATTGGAGGATCTTCCTCAGTATAAATTTCATGTTGCATGACTATCATACGGCCCAACTCATGTAATTCATGTGCAAACAGATCTTGGAAATCTTTCAACACTCCTTTAATTTGTCAATTTTGCTCTGAGTTCATTTCACCAATATTTAATTCACCAGTCAAACTTTTCATTTTGCTCAGCAAACACACCTTCCAATCATTTTCACATCATTGCTTAA